TGTATTGCCCCTATTTGACGTTCTATACAGCAGTATTACTAAAACAAGTGACAAGCAGTTATGTGACATGCGTTATTCGCTGTCGAAAAGCACCCGCTGAAACATCACGCGGACGTGCTATGCAGTTAAGGCGAGGCAAAGGCACGCTTCGTAGTACTATTGTGGTTGTTCAGATGAAAAATGTTTTCTCCCTTAAAACAAAAACCACTTTTTGAAATTTTCTGCCTAACAAAGCATACCATGCAGTGATGTATAAGCCATACTTCTACTTGGGCTGCTACATTTTGAAAATTAAGCTGCAATATGAGTCAAAATGCTATTTATCCCAAGTTTGTCACTATTCTGACGATGTTTGTACTTCATTAGCTCGCAAATTATTTTAATAATTTTAATATAGAATCTTATAAAAGAGAACATGCAAATATATTACTTGTGAAAGAAGTTCTACTTTTTATAAAAAACACTAAACATGCCGCATATTGCAATGTTTCACCAGGATGAGAAATAGAGAAAGTTGAAACAAGAAATAATAAATTATCATAGTCATGAAAGTGTAGTGTCATGCTTTCAGATTAATCGAAAAACTGTTTCGTAGTAATTGCTCAAACAAGTAATATTACATAAATTATTTAGCACGACGGCATTTCCCTTGGTTGCCCAAAGTTTGAGGTGCCCTGTAAAACACATTCACGGCTTCGCACCCTAGGCAACACTAACTTTTTTTGTAAAATATAATGCCTCAATAACTACTTCTCACATGAACATATAGCTGCACACCTTTTTTTTAGCATTATTAGCATGTGATAGGGAATGACCCATGTATATATGAAGACATCAATTAAAAGCTCTAGTTAGTTTTATCGTAAACATACAATGAATGAGCAAAAAACTATCAAAAATATACCGGGTAGATTTAATATGGAATCACCTCTCTCTCTCTCTCTCTCTCTCTCTATATATATATATATATATATATATATATATATATATATATATATATATATATATATATGCCTCCAGTATTTTATAAATATTTATGCGCCACACCGGCGTTCACAAACGATGTGAGTGTAGAGACATGTCAGCGGACAAGCACACGGCGAACGAAGATCACAAAACTTCCCGCGCCAACCCACTGTCGCTTCCTGTAAATACGATAAGGCCCAACTGCATGCAGGAATGTTTCGAGCAACGACAGGATTTTCTGTTGCTATAGCTGTCGCGAAGGGCCAATCGTCGCCATCGGGTTGCAGGTTTCCTGGAAAACCGAAAAGAAATCGCTTGTCGCCCAGGAAAGATCGTGACTATTTCCCCAACATGGTTCCCGATTCTCACTTCGGCTGCAATCGAGGCGGCTGCCATATTTTGACATTAATGTTGTTATCCACAGTTTCTTTTGATGCTTCGGTGATAGCTTACTACAATGTTGGTTGCTTGCTACAATGTCAATGGCGTCGCGGTCATCCTGCGAGGTTGCCACGAAGTTGGCAAAGTGCATAGTGGTGTCGTAGCGTACGCTCCTGGGCGCCCATTAAAATCACAGCAGATACCACTGCTGCGGTTAAACGACTGCGAGAAAAGATAGCCCTGAAACGCTTTTATGGTTTGCACAGGCGGCACAGGAACAGCTTGCAGAAGATAGTGCCTTCAACCACCGAAGATCAGTGAAGTGCGACAAAGAAGCTGAGCGGTTTAACTTTTTTTTGCATTACTACATTTTTGCTCTTACCGAAAACGTTTTCATAATTTGCCCTGCATAATAAACGCACCCCTAACTTTGATCCGATTTTTCTTGAATAAAAATGCATTTATAACGCAAGAAAATAGGGAAAATTTACGAGAAAATATGAAAAATTCAAACATACACACGCACGAAACGTTAATAAAACTGCTTTGTGTCTTTTTTACTTTTATGTGAATATTGCATTGGACCCAGAAAGCTTCTGTTCCTTTGTGCGCACGCGCGTGCGTGTGTGTGAGCGTATGTGCCTGTGTAATTTGGGAGAGAGAGAGAGAAAGAACATTTATAAGGGCATATAAAAAGAAAGTATGCATGGTATATGTAGGACTTGTTATTTAGTAAAAGAAAACAACTCTCTTTTCTTGTAAATAACTGGTATTTTGGTAATTTCTTATCATGCATAGGTTCTTGAATTTGCATTTTCAGATAGTGCTCATGCTCAAATAAAAAAAAAATTTCTCAAGTAATACTTTGAAAGGACTTTTGAGATGCCTCCAGGTTTAATAACAATATCTCAGATGGCTGAAGTACGAAGGTTGGCACAATTGGCACAAGTCCACAACTACCTGCACCTAGACTTTATCAAAGTCCTATATGCTCATGAAAATCTTCAGAAATGCAATGTTCTGGTTATTCAATAGGGCTGCAAAATAAGTTTAGCACTACTTGCACGACACACACACCAAAAAAAATGCGCTTGCATGCACTGGTGTGTTAGTTTATATCACTCAAAAGGCCCTCATCTTATTTTGCAACAAAGCTTCCGAGTAATGTTGCCAGTGACCGAAGGCATTATTTAGTTATTCAGTATTAAAGTACTATCGGTGCAGTTGGCAGAAGCTAATTATTTAGAAAGAAAAGAATGTCACATATGACATATCCCATTCTACGATACATGTACCGCCTAGTTTATACCCTAGAAATTTGTCAGATGACAAGCAAAATGTGCTCAGTATGTATGATGCTCTTCAGGTGAGCAACGTGTTTATGATCAATGTTATCATGAACTGAAGGGCTGGATGCCACTAAGCACAATCACTGCTTTAGGCAATATCAAAATATCTAATCAATGAAGTTCAGAAACATTACTGTTTTACGATACACTGTTTCTGTTGTCATGAAAGGTGCAAGCACAAATTAAAAAAAAAAGTACGCATTTCAGTTCACAGTTGTATCATAGTACTGGCAAAGGTGGCTGTCAATGAAATTCATGTTAAGTCTACCATACTTGTACAGGTGCATCTGAGAGCGTTGTTAGTGAACTCACTAGTAAGGAACACCTCAATATTAAAAATGAAGGCACTACTTTCACGGTTGTATGCCTGCAGCTAAGTTTCCTCACAAAATAGAGAAAAGAGAACAGAGCATTTTTTTTCTTCGACAAGTCAACATATTCCTGTGTCAGCCCCTAGATATTCATTCACCCCTCAATAGTTGAGTATTGCATCCATTCTTTACCGACATTATCTGTTTTCATAACAACATAGCAAGATGACAAGTTGTAAGTAAATCAAAGAAGCAAATTATTCTTATATTAATAGTACCATACAGGTTTTCTCTTCTTCTTGTCTTCCATATACTGCTGTTTGCTATTTTTTAAATGTGTGATGTTACTACTATGTTTGTTATTTTTAGTATTAACTTTTACTGGCTCTTTTTATATGCTATAAAATTATAGAGCAAATGAGCAGAAAATAACATTACAGCACCCACAATTTTTTTTTCTAAAACATGTGTGGATATATTATGCTTTTGTATTTTATATATTCTATCATTTTCTTCTTTATTGCTCTGGACTTACATGTATGCAACATATGCTGTTTTCTTCAGACACTATATGAAAATTCCTGATCACGCCGCTCCATGTATGTGCCCCGACAGTCATCTCAAGCTGCGTTTGGCCACTTCTTACCAGCGGTATTCCAACTACTATCACATTAAAACTGAGATTACATGGTGAAAATTACATGGCGAAAACAGCACACCACATTGTTCACACTTCTTTCCATTTCCCATGTACACGCTTTATACTCTTTTTTGTACTTCCTTGCTAATGCAATGCCCCCAGGAGCATGTGCGACATTTTAAAATAAATAAAATGCAGACTCACATGCTACCCCGTGGCAGAAGCTACAGGCAAATCTACTAATTCGTTTTGATAGTTGAACGATAAAGTAGACAACGTGAACATCAACATAGTGTTTAGTAGACCAGAGTTTGAAAAAAGATTGCCAGGTGAGTGTGATTAATTGAAAAAATGAACGTATACTGATGTTTCGAGGCCCCTATAGTTTTCTTGTTGATAGAGAAAATGGGTGCAAGAGGAAGTGATGATTTTTCAATAGCCACCAGTTGCACCTAGCTACACTGTGGATAGTGCACTTGTAGTGGCTCCGAAATGTCAATATATGTTTATTTTCTTATGATCAACACCAACTGAGAGATACGCCAGGACTCCGCATTGGTTGTCAAAAAAGCCAAAAGGAAGCAACAAGAAAATATAGGTTTTTTTTTTTTTGCTGTGTAAAATACATACAATAGCACTCAAGCTTCATTATAACAAAGTTTCATTTTAAACAAAAATAAGCTCGTCATATCCAAAAATTCGTTATAAAGGTTTATTCCTATCACTTTATTTATTGCAAGGATATTATTGATTTGCTTTTCTATAACCAAGATTTCATTATACTTGGGTTATTTAGATCGAGGTCTGAGTGTATTTCAATTCTCATAGATGACAATACAAGAGATACAGCCCAGTACACAATGCACAAATTATTCACCAGTGCCCTACATAGTGAGATAAGAAAGAGTACAGAAAAATATTAAGTTAGGTGAGCACTTTTAGTGGTGACAGGTTTCACATATTTCTACTCAACTGTCGCATGAAGTTCAAAAGAGAGAGAGAAATAAACATGACTATCGCAAAGTCTATTCAAGAGCAATTAAAAATATTGTTTTTAATATACTATATCCTGCGGACAAAAAAACTGATAATATTTATACATGCAGTTGAACCCCTTTATAAGAAGCATTCTGCAGGCAACAATTCTTGTCTTTTATATGGAATGTCTCTTATAAGCAGAGTACCACGTATGCATTTTCTTATCAACCCGTATTTTACTGTAGGCACACTGGTGTCTCTTATACCCATTTGTCTCTTATATCAGTGCCTCTTATAAAAGGGTTCAGCTGTACTAACATAATTATTCACTTTTACACAAAATTTGCTTTAGAAAGATTAGATTATTTTACAAACCTGAAGAAAGGACTGCGGTCACGGCAAAGGGAGAGATATGCCTCATCACGGTACATGTAGCGAAGGTCATTCTTGCAGCCAACCAGAATGATGGGTGTGTTGGGGCAGTACTGACGGATCTCTGGGTACCAGACTACCTTGCAGTTTCGCAAGGACACTGGATTCGCAATTGAGAAGCAGAGCAGCACCACATCTGACCTGAAAACATATACACACTCTGCTTAGTTTGGGTCCATCAAGCATTGATGGGCTTCAGAACCCGAGAGGCATATACCTAAGAAAGAAAAAGAGTGATAAATTGAACAAGCTCAGATGACCACCACCCAAATTTCAATATCAGGTCTCAAATTAGCTCTAATGCTACATGTCTGAATATACAAATATGTGTGTGAGTGTGTATTGTTTATTCTGCAAGACATATGATTACTTCCATTTATATTGCCAAAAAACCTCAGAGATGTAAATATTCATGCATGTTCATGTCACTCCGTAAAAGTTAGATAAATGAGAACTTTTCTTGTGTCCTCCAATTCACAAATGTTACAAATACAGAGGAAATAAACTTCTCAAAGAAATTTCCTCGAAGGGGCCATGAAGTTGGTCATCATTAAAAGTGTTTGACACACAGCGGTGAAAAATTTACGACTTATTCTCCTCATCCAGAAGCTTCAGAGGTATGTGGGCTCTAATTTATCCAAACTGTGCAGCTAAATTTAAGAGTCTAAAGCTCCATGCACCAGTGATTGCTATATTGATGAGCAATGTGTAAACTCAAGAATTGTGGCATGCTCATTCCCAGGAGTGGCCAAGTGCAATCACCTCATATGACCACACATTCGCTTTAAACACAGCACTCATTCCAATAAATGTTTGCACCAATGATTGGCCAAATCAGTGGTACACTGTGTTGCTGTAATGGGCCTTGTATGTCAGACCTTCAGCATAACACCTGCCAGCAGCTTTTAACAATAGTGGTAGAAATCAAATGAAACCACCCTACCATAACACAGCAGACACTACAGAATGTGACAGAAAAGAGGTCAATTCCTTGCAAAAAAAAGTGACCAGTGTATGACCATTACGATGGATATACAGTGCTGCATTGATCGACCACGTCTTTTGAAACGTGTAATTTGATGTGAGGTTTTTGACTTTTCAGCCCTACTTTGTGGAATTTAGATTAATTTTCCAAAACGTGGATTAATTTTGAGATGATGCCCATGGCCTCTCATATTGAGGTATGTCCATTTAAACAACTTTAATGCCTAGCATGGACTGGTAGTTCCCTCCAAGATTCTGTACATTGGACGTTTTTTCCCCAAGGGGCTCTGAGCTTGTCTTTTGTACCGAGATATAAAGGCTTCAAAAATTTCTCTCGAGGGAAGTGGACGGTTCAACCACTCCTTATGTACATTATTTATTTATTTATTTATTATTTTATTTTATTTGGGCATGCTTCACAAAATTGCCCACGAAGGGGGCAAAAGGAGAGAGCATCTCCTGACTAGGCCCACTCTTCGTGAGGCACCTCGGGCAAGTACAGCAAAACAGTACATAGAGAATTCAAGATTATACATATAAATTATTTTAAAAAGTGATGATCATTACAACAAGTACAGAAAATATCAGTTAAAGATTCAAACAAAGCTGTTCCTTAGCGATAAATACAAAGACATTATTAGCACTATTAACATATCCTGAAATACATACAATTTGTGTGTATATGAAAGATAATAATAAAAAACAAAGATTACAACAGATATATTTCATACATTACCAATCTTCAGCACATGCACCCAAATACAAAGACATTATCAGCACTATTAACATATACTGAAATACATACAATTTGTGTGTATATGAAAGATAACAATAAAAAACAAAGATTACAACAGATATATTTCATACATTACCAATCTTCAGCACACGCACCCTATAAGTGGGTTTGGATTATCACATTCGTAATTTGCTTCTTAAATTTTGTAATGTTAAACACATATTAGAGTGTGTTTATGTGAACGTGTACATATACACGTGTAAAACTGGAAAAAAAAAAGAAATCTAGAAAGGTGGAGCGATAAGAGCACCTGGATTTTGTGCACACAGATCGACGCGTCGGAGGTTTGATAACTTTATCAGGTGGTTTCATAGAGAAAGCTTTACATTTTTAGCGCAAATTCTCTTACTATTTTACTGACACCAATTCCATTATGAAAATTACGTAAGCCATTCTTTGCGGACTGCAGGCCATGTTAATAATTATCTACAATATAATTTTTGTGTTCACAGTATTTTTAACTAATTTTCTACTTAAATGAGTCCTCACTTGTTGCCACTTCTCAATTACAAAACACTGTTTCAATTATTTCTGCCTAGGTGAATCCAACCACCCTGCTGTGAGCCCATCCCCCATTGAGGGTACGTGTTACATTTCAAAAGGAACATAATCTTCATTAATTAGCGTACCTGCCATATGTCTCTTTTTTGTGAGTGTCTTCTTTTTGTGTTGTTTTAGAGCATTGTATTGGGGAAGGAAAAACCAATATGTAACCACCAAGACAACTTTTTTTTTATAGCCAACAAGAATTTGATTGCTTGCCTTCCGTAGGCGAACCGGCGGTCCTTGTCATGATCGCCAAAGGTGTCCCACAGCCTCAGAGACACATTCACGCTATCAACCACCTCGAGGGAGCGCTCCAGGACCTGCAGCACGTGGCAGTACAAAAAAGTCATATAGTTTGGCTGCAAGGGCGAACCAATGAATGCACAAGCACCTAATTAGAATTTCACACGAAGGACGCCAAGCAGCTCGAAACTTGCAGTGCGCAGCTCAAGCATAAAGAGCGCACTAAAAGAACACACACAGCACGAGTTCATACTAAAAATTTTCACAACAATTGCTACTCCTTCGTGTATGAGTAGCGCGCTTTTTTCTCAAATGCGGCTGCTGCAGCGAGACAAGTGACCACGTGGGCTTTGTAACTTGAACTGAAACTTTGTGGTGAAAGCACAAGACGTACAAAGTACACCCTCATCGTGAGATAAGCACGCGCCCACGGGTGACTATGCACTGGCAAAGTGTACAGGTGCCAGAGGTAGCAGTAGCGTGCATAGCAGCGAAAGGGGCGATGACATTTTAAAGCGTGCCATCTACCTGGCAATCCAAGAGAAGACGCTAAAATGCTTTCAAGCTCTGCATACTGCCAGCAGTGAAGGGTTCATATAAATAGCTCGTCGTTAGTATGCTGAAGGACGTACGGTCTGCCAAATCTTTAGCTATTGTGCATGGGTGGCAGCTTTTTCCTGAGTATCTTTGCCATATGACTGAATTAAGTTTCAAAAACGGTGTGGACAAATGTATGCCCCCAAAGTACATGTCCACGAAGCAATTTTTTGTAATTCCGTTCGATGAAATGGCACTAAGAGACAAATGGCACTGATAGCCCTGCTGGGCTATCATCAACCAGTGTTAATTTACATGAAGGTCGAAGCACTACAGAAGTTTCAATTCTACCAAAGGCCGTTCATTGCCAACGGACGTGAAGCATCGATAATGAAGAGCACACCAGAAAAGCGCTCAGCGGTGCTGAACGAACAGATGTTGTCATCAGAGATGCGCCTTACCATAAACCACCGTGTAACAACTGTCGACTGCTCACCACAGCATCTAAGTTGTGTACCAGACTGTATTTCAGAGCAAAAGCCTCCGTCAGGCTTTACAGCCTTTTGCTTTAGCTTCGTTTTTTCCTATGTACAGGAAAATAGAAATAAACGTCAAACAGTGTTCTAGAATGGACACACCCATTTCCTCGACAAGGCTCCTCACACAGAGTGCGTAGGGCTCTCGTAGCTAAGGGCGGTTATAAAAAAGGGTAGAAGTGGACAAGTCATTGACAGTTGGGCGTGAAGGGTGTTTCTTGTTTGTGTAACCTTCAGAAAATATGCAAATGATAAATAGGACCGCTGCAGATGGAGTGACCACTAATTTGATTCAACGTAAAGGCTTTCTACTGGTCTAGTGTGAAAGGCGCAAATAGATAGGCGAATGCCCAGATGATGGACAGAATCAAGCATCTGCAAAGCGCTTAGTGTAGTGGATTGATAGATTATTGCACCGTAGTCCAAGTGAGCATATGCAAAGCGCTTGGTGTGGTGGATTGATAGATTATTGCACCGTAGTCCAAGTGAGCATATGAGGCTTTTGTACAGATCTATCAAACACTTATTGTCACTGCCCAGGTAGTGCGTGACAACACCTTTAAGGACATTCATTGTTTCTATGCATTAATTTTTCAAGACCCAATGTGTGATATGAACGTTACTTTACTATACAGAATTAAGCCTAAGAACTTGTGCTCCGTCTTTACGGAGAAATATTGACCATGCAGGTCAATGTCTAGGTCAACACAAAGGCCTAACTTCCGGGAAAACAGGATGCATGTGCTTTTTTTAGCATTAAAGCTGAAACCATTCTCTTCTGCCCATCTTGTCATCTTGTTCAGACCTAGCTGGACCTGCCGCTCACACAATGAAAGATTGCATAATTTAAAACCGATTTACACATCGTTGACATATGTGCAATAAAACATACTTCATGGAATGCAAAGGCACAAAGAATTCATCTTGATAATAGAAAGAGTACAACTAAGCACACCATCCTGCGGCACTCCTGTATCTTGCACAAATGTTTGGGACAACACATTATCTGCCCGTACACGGAACGTCCGGTTGGACAAGTCAATTTCAATGATGGTAAACAATATGTCATGCACACCAAGGCGATGCAGGTCTCTTAATATACCAAAGAGCCATGTAGTACCGTCAGCCTTTTCCATATCGAGGAACATAGAAGAAGATTTGTTTCTTGGATCTGTGCCTCGATACGTACTAAAACTAAAAGGTCGATAGTGGATCTTCCTTCTCGAAACCCACACTCACAAGTAACCACAGATATCTGGTAGGCATAAGACGGGACGTACATTTAGGATATTTTGGACATCCATCAAATGTCCACGAATTGTACACAGTACGTCTGACAGCCAACATAGACATTGAGAGGCCCTTCAAAGGATATATATATATATATATATATATATATATAAGATCTAACAGACAGTAATGCCAAGGAATGTATAGGGGAAGTTATTAAAAACGAGCCCTTTGGTATACGCTTCTTTCCCTTATTATATATATATATACTGAAGAAGTTTTTCAAATGGGCCAAACGTAACTGGGAAGAGAAGAGACGAACTTAGCAGTTGCCTTAATTTTATTTCCAACTGCACTTGTTTGCAAACCCTGACGAAGACCGGTCCACCGGTCGAAACCCTTGGAAATAAAGTTAAGGCAACCGCTAAGTTGTGTCTGTTCTCTTCTGTGTGTGTGTGTGCGTGTGTTTGTGTGTGTGCGCATGTGTGCGTGCATGTGTGTGTGTGAACAGCGTACACACACAGCCTACTCGGAGGCCTGTCTTTTTTCCGTGAGAGATTTTCTGCTGCAAATGAATTTTAAACAAAAAAGTCCAAGGGGGCTTTCAAGAACAATCGAACCTTTATTATCAGCATATATCAAGGCTAAGAAGCACCTAACTCACAGTCCGCAGCTGCGATTGTGAAAGTGTGTACATAGTCTTACAAGATATCAGTGTTCAATGCCCTCTTGCTTTCAAGTGTGATGACTTCTTAGGCGGCAGCAATTGCCTCTTTACGGGTTTATAAAATTAAGTTATTAGCAACAAACCCAACTTGTAGGTGTTTATGCCAATGTTATTCTAGTAACTGTAATACATACATGCAGACAAGCACAGGAGAAAAACTAGGTAATGGGTGAAGCACCTTCTAAAGAAGGTGTACAGGCCCTAACCACATGTTCGTTTTAAATCAATTATTAGCAAGGAATATGCAAGCAAATAAAGAGCTGGAAACATGCCACGTATTAGCAGGGCTTATATAAATTCTGGACAACAGTTAATGCGTTAAGTACAGATAAATGTCCGATATGAGACGTAAATAACAGATATGTAACACGTGGCCTTATCTGTGCCGTGCGAGTGGTGTTGTTCCTGCTTGCCGAGGTAATCTCTGCCGAAAACAGTGGGGGCTTGTGTCACCTTTCAGTATTTTTTGTAGAAAACTCATTTTTTGCAACTTCATATGTTGCTGTTGATTTCCACACGGGCGCACTTGAAAAAAGAGAAAATCTGCCTTCCGCCGCTAGGAGAGCGGCTAAGCGGAAATATGTGCGACGCGACCCCAACACCTTCCTTTCCTGTGCTCCTTCCCTCAGTGCGCGCCACTGGTCAAGCAGGTTTCGAGACAATAGGCACAATGGCGCATGTTTTCTCCCAAAATATCCAGAGGGGCATGGCTAACATGGCGTGTACGTTCGAGAAATCTGAGCAACTGCGGTGTGCCGCTTGTTCAGAAGTGTCGAGGCTGGCACATGGAAGTTTACCAACATAATGAGCGCTATGACGCACTTGATCTGCATTTTCGTTAGTTCACATGCGATAATAATAAAACTAAATACATTCTTTCTCATGACATACGATACACATTTTGAATCAACCAGATTGTTTTGCCTCAGGAAGCAAAATTATTTGGCATCCTGGGATCAAATGCGTGTGCCAAAATTTGAATGAATTTCATAGTAACTTTTTTAATGCAATTTCACAAAATTGTCCCCTGAGATTCTACAGATCTTTATATATTTTGACTAGATTCTAATTTTACAAGAATTGAGCAAATGCACATATCCTTGGCATGTCCTTATATAGACAGCCAGTCAACGTTCAAAACTGGATGTCCAAACGGACAGATCACAGCTCGAGTCCACCACCGAAATTCGCACATTCAAGGTCATTTCGCCTTTGTAACGACATTCTCTACAAAAATAACTTTGAATCTTATGCGACTGAACACCTGCTCGTCATTACACCAAGGCTACGTGCCGATATTTTATCTGCCTGCCACGACGAGCTTTCCTCCGGCCACCTAGAATTTGCACGTACCTTTGGCCTGATTCGGACTCACTACTACTTTCCAAAGCTCAGCCAGGATGTGAAGCATTATGTTAACTTGCCAAAGCTTAGCCAGGATGTCAAGCATTACGTTAAAACGTGTAACCATTGCCAGCGCCGTAAAGCCCCACCTGTGCGCCTTGCTGGTTTATTGCAGCCTGTTGCACCACCATCACAACCGTTTGAACAAATCGGCATGGACTTGCTTGGGCCCTTTGCGAAGTCACATGATGGCGACCACTGGATCGTAGTCCCTACTAACTATTTAACAAGGTACTGCAAAACAAAAGCCCTACAACAGGGCACCACCAATGAGATTGTGTATTTTTTCATGAACAACATCGTCATCGGCCATGGGGCGCCCACAGTTGTTATCACTGATCGTGAAACAGCCTTTACAGCCCAACTGATGCAAGATGTCATGAGGCTTCGTAGAACAGCTCATCGCCAAACGACCACATACCCTCCACAAACCAATGGTCTAATGGAGAGATTAAACAAGACACTCGCTGACATGCTGTCCATGTGTGTTGACCACGATCACAAAAACGGGGCTGAAATTTTGCCATACGTAACGTTCGCTTACAACACTGCGGTTTAAGGGACTACAGGTTTCACTCCTTTCCAGTTGCTTCACGGCCGAGAAGCAATTACGATGCTGGATTCCATGCTCTTACCTGACATA